CAATTTCCGTCAATAATTTCTAGAGTTATGGAGATTGTGAACGTTTGAATGACAAAAGTGATCATGTGATCTGTATGAAATTTATATGCATTATTTAAATTAGTAAAACGAAAAAGCCTGTCAAATTTCATCAATTTTTATAGATTACTTCCAGAGTTGAGACCCTTGTTTCAGTTTGTAGAACCTTGTAAACCCTCAAACGACAAAATTTATAATCTGATCTGTATGGAACTGTCTTGTAAAGGCCCCCAATTACCTACAAAGGAATAAATATGCGACAACCCTTGTCAGCCGCTCGGACAATTTAGCTGCTGTGGGCGTATTTTTGTTGCCTGGCAACCTATCTTTTTTGTTACTGATAAAGTTTCCTGTCGATACCGGTAGTGGCTTAATTTCAACAAAAACTATAATTTTGACAGTTAGGTACCAATTTTTTCAAAATTTGTTATTACCAAATCGATGCGCAATGCAAAGGCGCACAAAACATCAGACTCAGTTTTTTTAATTTCGATTTCATTTTCGGGCTATTTCGATTAAAAGGTGAAAAAAGGTGTAAAATTAAGCTATTTACAACCCATTCAGCGTCTTAATATTTTAAAATATTTCTTCGTAACTTTCATAAATTCGTAGTAACAATCCATACAAAGAGAATGTATGTGAAAATTAGTTTGTAATAAGAACAGTTCCCGAGAAATGGGCAATTTTGCATGAGTGACTTTTTACGCTAGTTTGCCTGTAAAAGAGTCAATTATTATTGGATTTCCATAAAAGTGACACCATTTGATGCGTAATGTCAATTGTGACTAATTCAACTCAATTTAACATTTTCAATGTCACCGGAAATGACAAAATTTGGGCAAAAACTGTATTTATAGCCTTCGAAACAAATAATTTATTCAAATGAGTCGTATTTGTTGTTTGTTTAAGATTTTGATATTTGATTCTAATCAACTAAAAGAATGAACCCATACGATCATATAGATATCACAAAATCGTTTCTAACTTGTTCACTTGCGGAGAAATAGGCAATTTTCAAAAGGTCACTTTTCAATTTTTTTTGTCCATAAAAGTGTCAATTATTATTCGATTTTCATGAAATTTTCACTGTGTGATACCTAATGCCATTTACGATTTCATACAAGTAATTTAAGATTTTCATTATCACCGGAAGTAACGTCATTTGGGCAAAAACTGTATTTTTAGCCTTCAAAACAGATATTTTATTCAAATGAGTCTGATTTGTAATGTTTTTCAAATTATGATATTTGATTCCAATCAGCAAATAGATTGAACCCATACGATCATACAGATACCAAAAAATGGTTTCTAACTTGTACGGTTGCAGAAAAATAGACGGTTTCTACAAGTCAATTTTCAAGGTTTTTGGTCATTAAAAGTGGTCATTAAAAGTGGCAATTATTATTCGATTTACATAAAATTTTCACCATGTGATGCCTTATGCCATTTCTGATTTCATAAAACTAATTGAACATTTTCATTATCACTGGAAGTATTGTACGCTTACATGTAACAAATGTATAAAATGAATTGATATTGCTGGATTTGGTTGATTCGGCGTCCATTTTATATGATGTGTGCAATGCTTATGTGGAAACCTGTTTAATGGTTTCATTGGAACCGGAAGTGACATATGTTTAGGGTAACGTGGCACCGGTGAAACCCGTCATTCCTGCATCGCAGTTCTAGTTATTATTATTATTACATTTTTTATAAGTAAAGGCCATATTATAATGAGTAATGGGAGATTTCAAAAGTAATGATCAATTACATTTCAGTTACATTGTATGGCACATAAATATTTTCAATATGATACGCCTCAAATTTTAAAGCAAATCCAATTCATTATAATTTTAAGAAAAAGATTTAAATCTTCAATTATAGTCTACCGATTTGCTTGGCTGAATTCAGGAGTCGTGCAACATGGGCAACGGGTCTAGACTTGGATGACATTTTTCAAACTTTTTAATTGATATCAATATGAAATGACGAAATTTTCATTCATGAAACTATTGAAAAAAAAAAGGAAAAAGATGAATTTGAAAGATTGGCATAAGTCAACAAATCTGTGTTTACATCCTTGTTGCACATGCCCATGTTACACACTGAGCGCGAGCCAGAGCTTTAAGCCAATGAAATCGCGTATTATTATCGGGAGGTCGATCATTCGTGGCAATGAGAAGGCCTACGGTTATCTTGTTAAACTGAGTCTGATTCGTTACTGACAAAGAATTTGCCTTTGATTACTCCAAATATGGAAAATTAAGGTCACGACCTTTCCAATGATATATGGAGATTAGCACCAAGCACCGCGTGCGTTTTCTAAACATTGGAATTACTTTCGCTGATTTTTTTTTACAGAATAGACGTCATTTCTTGGGCCTTTTTATACGCCCACGTCCGTTCGTCCATCGTCCACAATTTCTTGTGAACGCTCTAATGTCAAAAGTTATCATCCAATTGTTTTAAAATTGATATATGTTGTTTACATTAGTGATGAAGAATCCTACTTAATTTCAGCAATTTCCGTTTATTACGTCCAGAGTTATGGCCCTTGTTTCACTTTATTGATCCTTGTGAACGCTCTAACACCAAAAGTTATTGCCCAATCTTTGTGAAATTTATATGCATGATTAAATTAGTGAACGAAAAAACATTTTGAATTTCAGCAATTTACAATAATTACTTTTAGGGTTATGGCCTTGTTAATGCTCGATTGATGAAAGTTATCATCTGATATGTATGAAATTTATATGCATCATTTAAATTTGTGAAACAGAGGTCTATTGAATTTTAGCAATTTCCGTCAATAATTTCTACAGTTATGGCGATTGTGAACGTTTGAATGACAAAAGTCATCATGTGATCTGTAGGAAATTTATATGCATTATTTAAATTAGTAAAACGAAAAAGCCTGGCAAATTTCAACAATTTCTGTAGATTACTTCCAGAGTTGAGACCCTTATTTCAGTTTGTAGAACCTTGTAAACCCTCAAACGACAACATTTATAACCTGATCTGTATGGAACTGTCTTGTAAAGGCCCCCAATTACCTACAAAGGAATAAATATGTGACAACCCTTGTTGACCGCTCGAACGATTTAGCTGCTGTGGGCGTATGTTTTGTTGCCTGGCAACCTATCTTTAATCAGGTAGGCTCATAAAATTCCCCCAAAACAACATTTCCAGTTTTCTGATCGGCAAAATCCTTCTCAAATCACAAAGTTCTTTTGTATTTCTTGATGTTTCAACCTTAATCTCAAAATCGACATTCTGACCCAAATCCATTGTTAAAAATGCTTTTGTGCCTGTAGCACATAATGACGTCGTGCGACAAGCGCCTGGTTTTGGTGGAGCGGCCCACAACTGATTGACTTTAAAATTATACACAGTGTTTAATGTCATGAGACGAGTTATAGCCCTTGTTCACGTTCTACAGACCAAAGTTATCATCCGATTGACTTTAAATTTATACATAGTGTTTAAAGTCCTGAGATGATGAATCTTATTGATTTTTTTTAACAATTTCTGATAATTATTGCTTGAGCTATGGCCCTTGATGACTTTGAAAAATGTTGTGGATGTTCTCAAGACCAAAATTATCATCTGATTGACTTTAAATTTATACACAGTGTTTAAGGTCATGAGACCACAAAATCTACTGATTTTCAACGATTTCCAATAGGGTCATTCCATGTCAAGTGGGCCAGGTGTGGGAAATCACCCCTTCGAAAAAAATCTGGGAAAATCGAAGGGGGTACGGTTTAACTCATTGGGTGATAATTGACATGGAATGACCCAAAACACAGATTTTGAAAAAATCGAAAAAAATTTGGGATGGCATGGGACAAGAATGGTTTTAAGATATGTTAAGAGACATTAGTACAAACTATAATTCCACCAAGTTTTAGATTTTTTAGTGGCTGATCTACTGGGTTCAGTCGGCTTGAAAATATGATAATTGACATAGATTGACCCAAAACACAGATTTTGAAAAAATCAAAAAAATATCTAGACGGCATGGGACAAATGGCTTTAACATATGTTGGAGACATTAGTACAAACTATAATTACATAAAGTTTCAGATTTTTAGGTGCTGATCTACCGGGTTCTATTGGCTTGAAAATATGAGGCAATTTTCGTAAATTTTTGTCTAAAACCATATTCGAGGCCAGTTGTCTGGGAATCTAGTGAAGACTGGTGCGTTTTCATATGTTTGTTATGTAGTACCACTGGCAATCTCTGGATATGCCAAAATATTGGTCTATATGTATTACCTTGTAGCTCCTGGAACACTACAAAAGCAAAAAGATATACAATTACACCAAATTGTTTTCGGTTTTCATGGCCAAGTAACATGCAAACCCTACCACTCACCTGTCATCTGATTGTAGATTCGTAATCTACACACAAAGTTCTCTAATGCTACCAAATTTGGGCTGTATATCTTTACTAGAAAGGTAAAAACAAGATATCTGAAACTCAAGTAAATTATTAATACATACATGTATTTTGTTTCGAAAACTTATTGGTAACTCATGAAACTCAAATGCCCGTATCTCAGTCAATCTTTAAGCTACAGACTACAAATTTTGCAGTTTCTTTTTTTTTGCATGTACAATAACATATATTTTTTCAAGATTTTATCGAGGGGATCGATTTTCGAAATTTCTGAAAATTGACCCACTTGACATGGAATGACCTGATAACTTGAACAGCTAAATTCATGATATTCAATGTTTTGTATACTCATGTGGCAGAACTAGAAGCCAAACAGATTTTAATGATTTCTGATAATTACTTCATGGGTTGTTATTCTTAATCAGATTTTAGTGTTTTGTAAATGTTTACATAGGGACAAAAGAAAAAAATATATGACATCCATTGTTGACTGCTAGGACGACTTAGCTACTGTAGGCGTATGTTTTGTTGCCTGGCAACCTGTCTTTGTTGAATGAATAGAATTATTTGTGTATTTCAGCTTCCTATGGTGCCGTCAGTCCAGCTCACCAGCCGATGTCACACAATCCTTATATCCGTCCTTATGGCAATGTGCCAACCTCGCCTTTCTTTTATCAACAAATGATACCGCCTGTGATGGGGCGTCAGATGCCACACCATCTTGGATCAGGTTTACCCCCTACCTCACAACCACTGGTTACTCCCTCAAAATTTGAACATGTAAGTTATGCACATTTTTATCTGCCCTCTAGTGTTGGGTCTAAAATGATGCAGTCATTTGTCGTATGTACTTCTATATGCGATTGTACTCAACAAAGTTTTTAAAATATTTCCTTCTTACTACTGCTACGTACAGAGCCTTGTGCAGTTATTTTGATTGGATGTTAATCTCAATTCGAAAGGGGGTGTTGGATGGCAGAAAGTCTGTCATTGAGTCAACAGACGTGGATTCGATTCCTTGGTTGTACGTGACAAGGAGTAGGGTCGCCTGTCCAACCTTGTGGGTTTTCTCCAGGTCCTCCAGTTTCTTCCCACTGCTAAAGACCCCTACATGCAAGCGAATTATTGAAATAAAATTGAACCATATGTTAGTCCCAAAATGACCTAGTTTGTGTCAAGTGGGGGTGGATGTTAAACCCTCTCTCTCTGTCTCTCTTCCCCCCCCCCCCTCTGTCTCTCTCTCAAAATTGGATAGTTTTTCATTTCTGACATAACTATTCAAAGAATACAATCAAACCATATTATTTACAGCCACATATATCAACAACAATAGGTAAAGATGCCAGTAGTAGTGTTGTTAGTAGTACAATGGATTCACACATTGAAGCTAAAAAATCAAAAATTAAAAAAGAAGTTGATACGTCACATCATGGTAAGATAACTCTAATTAATTACAACATATATATATATTATCCAGTAAATATCTTTACAACATATATATTACCCATTCAATTTATTTAATTGGAAAATTGAATTGATTTCCAACTTCCAAGGATTTCCAACTTCCAAGTATTTCCATTATAATATTGTGCTACATAATGTACAGTGTTGACTTTCTCAAATTATAATCTAAATTATACAGAATTGCTATTGATAGTTTCATAAATTGCTAGATATATTTATATTGTTGTAGATCATTATGATGAGGATGATGAAAGAGCTAATGGCGATGGACATGGTAGAAGTGGACATATACCACAAGAGGGAGAACCAGATTTTATAGAAACTAATTGTCATTGGGTAGATTGTACACAAGAATACTCATCACAAGAAGAACTTGTTAAGGTATAGTGTTCAAGTGAAGACCTTTAAGGAGATTTTGACATTGCACTGAATTAATCATGATTTTCTGTTAATCAACATTGTAAGAAAATGACTAAGACAAATTCAAACCTTCATCAAAATCATGTAGAGCATAGCATCATCCACCATCAATAATATGATTAATTAAAAGTGACTTATGGCCCAAAGTTATTTCACTTCCTCTGATATTTATTTTTAGCATATAAATCAAGATCATATACAGGCTAATAAGAAATCATTTGTTTGTCGGTGGAATGATTGTAGTAGAGAAGAGAAGCCATTTAAAGCTCAGTATATGTTGGTTGTACATATGAGACGACACACAGGAGAAAAGCCACATAGATGTACAGTAAGTACTAATTAACTTTTTTATACTCCCAAATTGAACTGTTATGGTATATTGTCATCACACAGTGTTAAAGTTCATGAGACAAATTAGAAGCGTATTGATTTTCATTTATTTCTGATAACTACTGCTTATCACTTTGGAAAATCTTGTGGACGCTCTGTATGCTAACTGTTTTTTCGATTGTCTTGAAATAGCTGAACAGTATTTATAGTCATGAGATAGAAGGCCACAGATCACATGCAATTTCCGGCCCTACATTTCAACGTAACCAACCTCACAACTCTTGTATCCTTCCGCCTCAAAATCATGAATATTCACCAAAACCCTTTTTTTCGATTCTACACCAAAAAGTCAAAAAAAATCGCCAAGCAAAAGGGGGAAAAAGGAAAGGGAGAGAGAGACTACAAATAACTTTGGCCCTTGTTTCGTGGGTGACGGCGTAGAAATATTTGGTTAGCTGTGTCCTATATAGGGGTGAAACTTCAGGTATCACCAAAAGGCCTTTTTTATTTGCTTCCCATGTGTTCTGGCAACATGCTGGTGAAAGGAAATCAAAATCAAAGAATAACTGCAAAAATGATGGCCCTTTAAGTATACATGCTGCTTTATGTACAGTGGTGCATCTCCTGTCCATGGGCCTTTTGTGCTAAAATTTAAAAATCTTTCGTATTAGGGGCAGTATTTGAGTTCTGTGGAAAAATTAGACAAGTTGCAAATAAACTACATAGAAAACACTCATAATTTGGAATTTTTTCAAAAAAATAATTTTTTACTGCCATGTCATGAAAAATGTACAAAACTTACATGTAGCATCTTTCAAAATACCAATAATTTTCCACTTTTTGTCCCCCGCTTTTCGAAGAAAGCAGGGGACTATTAAAATGGGTTCGTCCGTCTGTCTGTCTGTCTGTCTGTCTGTCTGTCCGTCTGTCTGTCCTTCTGTCTGTCCGTCTGTCTGTCCGTCACACTTTTTGGGACACAATAACTCTCTTCCTAATTGAGCTAGAATGTTCAAACTTGGTGTATGTGTTTATTAGGTCAATGCCTTGATGGAGTTCGAAGATGAGCATTTTCCGCTTAGGGTAAGCAGAGATAAGCAATTTGATTGGTTGATGCTTTGGGACACGATAACTCTCTTCCTAATTGGGCTAGAATGTTCAAACTTGGTGTATGTGTTGATTAGGTCAATGCCTTGATGGAGTTCGAAGATGAGCATTTTCCGCTTAGGGTAAGCAGAGATAAGCAATTTGATTGGTTGATGCTTTGGGACACGATAACTTTTGATTGAGCTAGAATGTTCAAACTTGGTGTATGTGTTTATTAGGTCAATGCCTTGATGGAGTTCGAAGATGAGCATTTTCCGCTTAGGGTAAGCAGAGATAAGCAATTTGATTGGTTGATACTTTGGGGCACGATAACTCTCTTCCTAATTGAGCTAGAATGTTCAAACTTGGTGTATGTGTTGATTAGGTCAATGCCTTGATGGAGTTCGTAGATGAGCATTTTCCGCTTAGGGTAAGCAGAGATAAGCAATTTGATTGGTTGATGCTTTGGGACACGATAACTTTAGTTCTAATTAAGTGAGATTGATGAAACTTGGTGTATAGTTTCATTACAGTAATAAAATTTACTAAGTTTGATAATGAGCATTTTCTGCTCAGGGTAAGCAGAGCGATACGCAATTTGATTGGTCGAGACTTTGGAAAACAATAACTCTCCTACTTTGATTGTCCCCCGCCTTTCGAAGAAAGCAGGGAACTATTAAAATGGGTTCGTCCGTCTGTCTGTTTGTCTGTCTGTCCGTTCCGCTTATGGTAAGCAGAAAAAACAAATTGAAAAAGAAACTATTATAAATTAATTAAATATGTAGTATGCAATAATGAATTGACATTTAATGACAGAAAGAAAACAGTGAACTTTGCACAACTTGCAGCAAGATGGAAAATAGACCCGTTGATACAACCAAACTCTAGATCTGTAGGCATAGAGCATGTTTTCCCCTTAATATGCTATAATTATTCCATCAAAAACATTGTATGCTTAGACTATAAGTAAAGATATACTGTTTGATTGTTCAATACTTTGTAAAAGATAATTTGTGATAAATTTATATGTGTCCTCTAATTATTTTCCTATTTCGGCGGGGGACATCAGCCTCACTGTTGGCTTGTTTAAATATCGAGACTGGCAAACAGAAAAATTGCAAATCAGTTGCATTGATTGTAATATTAGATAGAGATTTATACTGAAACATGTGTCCCTACCCCCTGAACATGCCACAGATTGAATCAATCTAATCTTTGGTTGCAGAACTAACATTATCAAAGGAAACTGTCTAACAGCTATGTTTTACCATCCCTGGCTAACATATGTGCATAGAAACTAAAATAGGTGTAATAAATATGAATTATGGTTTAAAATAGGCCTTGATGAATGAAAAAAAAATGCAATATTTAGTCTATGATCACTCCTCTCTAACAGAAGGGTCACAGGATAAACATTTTTCACAAATTTGGGGAATATTTCAATGTTTCCAACATCTCAAACCTCAGAGGCATCATACAAATTTTTATTGCAATCCTAGTGCTGAAGCAAGATGTCTCTACCTTTACATCAATTTCCTGAAAAAATGAAGTCAAAAAAGTGGTTATGACAGAATTGATAACAAAAAGGAGGCCTGAAAAGGAGCAAAATTTACATTTTATTGTTCTATAAGCAACATAAATGCAACAAACACCACAAATCCTAGATTTTGATAAAAAAATATTGAACATTAAACTGACATGTACCAGGGTGTGGTCTCATTGGCCTGACATGTCTTATGGTTCTAAGTTTGGCTTTAAATAAGAAAGGTTAGAAATACTTGAAATGTACAAAATATCCATTTCTTGGTGCAAAATAACATTCCTAGTCGCAATTCAACCACAAATTCCAATTTCTATCATTTAATTGTCAACACAGGTGCAATTAAATCTCTCAAAACACATTAATAAAAAGGGTGGGGTGGGGCATTTATAGCCTCTCTAAACAGAATGATGGAGTAAAAAATGTCTAGAAAGACTGGGATATTGCTTCCTACATGAAGGAAATGCAATGTTTCTGAGAAGAAAAAAATGCCTATTTTGGGTAAAATAGTGGCAAAATTGAGCCAACCCCTGTTTTGAACATTTTGTACAAACCCATCTGCTGTACATTATTAACTGAGTGTGACTAAATTTCAATTTTCTGTAGGAAAGCTGGAGCTATTTCTAAACCTGACAAACTTATAGATCCCATCTAAGTTATATTAGCAATGAAAATAAGGGCATTTTTAGACATTTTGACTCATTTGAGTAGTCATGAAAGCATTAATTTCTACCTCGAAATGGGAGAATCTGGAGATTTTCTGTGAATATTCCTGATTTTTAGACAAAATTAGGTGAAATTACAATACTGTTCACTTTGTCTGTGCTTTCTGAGGCAGAATAAGCCAAAATTGGACATTAAGAAATTAAATAAAAACTGAAAATTGAGAAATTTGTAGTAAAATCACAATTTTTCGCCAAAGTCGATAATTTTTTTTAAGATTTAACATTTTTTTTAGTTTTTCTGTACTCAAAATATTTTATACATATTTTCTGATAATTTAGTCTTCATATTTTCAAAACTAAGGCATGTCAGTCACAGCCTTGTTGTAGACATGGACTTAGTAGGGTGCCACAGCATTAATCGACACAACATTTGGTAACTAGGGTAAGCGACAGTTCATCACAGAAATTGTGGTCTGATCCCCAAAGTGGTTATGGAAGGGAGACAATCAGTCAACAACACCAAGAAAGTCTTGAATTTGAAAGCATTTATATGACGTCCAAGACAGTTACTTTACATATATAAACGTAAACAATAATAAATGTAAATAAAAGAGTTCACAGTTGAGTTGTTTGATTCACTTACTGGTTCATTATGGAGTGTGCTACATGTTTATAAAATGTTCACGGTTCACTAAACTTGTCAGTCTTGACAATTTCACGACAGATTTACATAGAGTTTATCACTGAATATCACATCATAACCCACTTGGCATGATTCACGAATGCTACACAATGTTCCTGTATCACCTGTTCACAGATTCTATCACATAATTTTCACTTGTCGCCATTCGTCACCATTTGTCGGTGAAAAAACGATATGAGACTGGCCCTACCAAGCCATGATGGCTGGATCACAACACGTGAAGCCCGCTGCTTCGACCAATGCGCAGGCGTCCCGCCAATAGCCTTGACTGACTAGACGCTTGACAGACAAAAAAATGTAGACTACACGAGTTCGTTACAAGACATCAAATTCGTACCAAATAATGAAACTCAAACATAACACTTGTTATACACAGACAGGCCACAGATCACTAATTATTTCCCCATTGACTTTAATGTTAATTCTCGTCTCTTAGCCGGGCTCTAACTTTTTCCCAAATTTCCGTCGGGTAGAACGTTTTCTGCCACAGATGGAGCAACATGTGGCAAACTCTTGCCCAAAAGCATGTATGAAGTTCACCATGAAAAACTTGAGATACACAAGTTGGAAGTAGAGACAAGTAAACATGCAATTTCCGGTCCTACATTTCAACGTAACCAACCTCACAACTCTTGTATCCTTCCGCCTCAAAATCATGAATATTCACCAAAACCTGGCAGAAAATGTATTTTCAAACCCTTTTTTTCGATTCTACACCAAAAAGTCAACAAAAATCGCCATGCAAAAGGGGGAAAAAGGGAAAGGGGGAGAGAGACTAAAAATAACTTTGGCCCTTGTTTCGTGGGTGACAGCGTAGAAATATTTGGTGAGCTGTGTCCAGAAGAGCATATTGATGATTTCCGATAATTACATTCAAAGTTATGACCGTTTATCACTTTGAAAGAGTTGTGATATGCTAGACACTAAAGTAATCATGTGTTTATGTTTATGAGACAAAAAAGGATTTGATTTCTAATAATTATTTCCAGAGTTATTGCCCTTGATAACTTAGAAAAATCTTGTTGATGCTTATTTGATCATTCGATAATTACTGTCAGAGTTATGAATTTGAAAAATCTTGTGGATGCTCTGTAAACACTATGAAAGTTGGTTGTAATGTTTTCGTGGAAATTGTACAAAATTTGTTTTATCCATCTAATGTATATATCATGATAATCATGTTGATGTGTAATTACAGTTTGAAGGATGTAATAAAGCTTACTCAAGATTAGAGAATTTAAAAACACATCTACGATCTCATACTGGTGAAAAACCTTATATGTGTGAATTTCCTGGTTGTAGTAAGGCTTTTAGTAATGCTTCTGATAGAGCTAAACATCAAAACAGAACTCATTCTAATGCTGTAAGTTATTTAATATATATTTTAATTTTACTGTCCCCCTTAATAATAATATGGTTTTATACAAAAAAATACAACATTCAGTGTTGTTTTTTCACAATTTTTATATCCAAAGTACACCCCTTATTTAAATGAGATATAGCTCTTAATTAAAATTTAATTTATGATTCTGTGCATGATTTATGAAAGGTTCAAAATGATCTTGTTAGGATGATTAGTATTGGTAATTTTTGGAAGGTATGCTGTAGGTGCTTTCATTTTTTCTTCACCATGTTAATTCTGTCACTATAGACTTCACGAATATTTAGTTGCCTGACAACCTATATTTTTTATATATAACAGAAACCGTATGTATGTAAAGCTGCTGGTTGTACTAAAAGATATACAGATCCTAGTTCACTACGTAAACATGTTAAAACTGTTCATGGACCAGAATTCTACGCCAACAAGAAACATAAAACTAATGAAACTCACTTCAAGAAGGAAGAAGATCCGGTAATACTGTGTTTTTATACGCCCACATTGAAATGTGGTCGTATATTGTTGTCGCCCCCGTCAGTCCGTCCGGCGTCCACAATTGCTTGTGGACGCTCTATAGGCTAAAGTTAATATCCAATTGACTTTAAATTTTTACACAGTGTTTAAGGTCATGAGACAAAGAAACCTATTGATTTTTAGCGATTTCCGATAATTACTGACAGAGTTATGGCCCTTGATCACTTTGAAAAACTTGTGGACGCTCTAGAGGCTAAAGTTAATATCCGATTGACTTCAAATTTATACACAGTGTTTAAGGTCATGAGACGAAGAAGCCTATTGATTTTCAGCAATTTCCGATAATTACTGCCACAGTTATGGCCCTTGATCACTTTGAAAAATCTTGTGGATGCTCTAGAGGCTAAAGTTAATATCCGATTGACTTTTAATTGATACACAGTGTTTAAGGTCATGAGACGAAGAACCCTATTGATTTTCAGCGATTTCCGATAATTTTTGCCAGAGTTATGGCCCTTGATCACTTTGAAAAATCTTGTAAACGCTCTATAGGCTAAAGTTAATATCCGATTGACTTTAAATTTATACACAGTGTTTAAGGCCATTAGACAAAGAATCTAATTGCTTTTCAGCGATTTCCGATAATTTTTGCCAGAGTTATGGCCCTTGATCACTTTGAAAAATCTTGTAAACGCTCTATAGGCTAAAGTTAATATCCGATTGACTTTAAATTGATACACAGTGTTTAAGGCCATTAGACGAAGAATCCTATTGATTTTCAGCGATTTCCGATACTTTTTGCCAGAGCTATGGCCCTTGATCACTTTGAAAAATCTTGTGGACACTCTAGAGGCTAAAGTTAATATCCGATTGACTTTCTTTTGATACACAGTGTTTAAGGTCATGAGACGAAGAATCCTATTGATTTTCAGCGATTTCCGATAATTTTTGCCAGAGTTATAGGCCTTGATCACTTTGAAAAATCTTGTGAACGCTCTAGAGGCTAAAGTTAATATCCGATTGACTTTAAATTTATACACAGTGTTTAAGGTCTTGAGATGAACAAGTATATTGATTTTCGATGAATCTTTATGACTTGAACAGAAAAATCCATGATGTTAAAAGTTTTGTATACTAAACGTTAGCATGGGGTAGAACTTTATAAAAACCAAACAAATTCTAATGGTTTTCTGATAATTACTTAATGAGTTGTTACTCTTAATCAGATTTTAATGTATTATAAATGTTTCATTACCGAAAAAAGTAAAAATATGCGACAACTCTTGTTGACTTCCCGGACGATGTAGCTGCTGTGGGCGTATGTTTCGTTGCCTGGCAACCTATCTTTATATAATTGTTGCTGTTGGTATATGTATTATGGGCTTTAAATGCCAATACGATTAGTACTAAATACTGAACTATTGTTTGAGATAAGTTGTCAGAGAAAAGTACCCACAGAGGTGGTCTTGAAAATAGACATACAGTATAAATGTTTATTGGAGTATGGAAATCTATATAAGAAGGCTGTCAAATTTTTGCTTGAATTTATCAATGAAATATGACTGGAAACATTACTTTTTCCCATTACTTCAAGAAAATATGTTATTTTTGACTGAAACAGACCCTTTTTATAAACGAAAACTTATTTCTCTTGACAAGCTCCCCTGTGGTATATGTATATGAGATATTTTTATACAGATTGTATTGATTTCTGTTGTTAAACATCTGGCCAGGTGCTGGTAGTGAATATGTATAATTAGAGAAATTATGAACGTTTTTAGGACAAAGATCAAGATGAAACAGAGACTAAGAAAGTAGAAGAATGTTTGAATGTATCTTCCTTACAAACTACTTCAGGTGAAAGAAGAAAATCTCAGGTTAGTTGTGACTTATTCTAATTTATCAATATTATGTAACATTATTTTAGTGATAACAGAGATCAGTTTCGTAAACATATGGTTTATTAACATCGCAACAGAATATAACATCTACATACAAAACAATACAGGAACTTAAACTAATATACAGGAATTAGACTACATCAGGAACTAGACTACAACAGGAACACATCAGGACGGAACACAACTATATTAAATCCACCATTCCGCCCCTCTGCCAAGGCAGGGGCTGAACTCAGGCGAGTCCATATGCCGGTCTCTCTGTCTTTCCTTCTCTCTAGTCGTCTGCCTAACTGTCAGCAGTCTCCTGCTTATATAGCGTACGACAATTAGGGAAAATGGTTAAGAGTGATCATCATATATGGTATTGTTTATTTATCAGATTATGGTATCTGTAATTGCACTGCATATTTCCTTTGAAGTCATCAACAGGTTGTGACGTGATGTGTTCACTTAAAATAATGATTGCTCCCTAGGCACGTGTTCTTTAAGCAATGGCGTCCAATATAAATGTTGTTGAACAAACTGATTATCTCTGTCCTTCTTACAAGCCCCACTTATACATTGGTAACAGAGAACAACGTAACACAGGTCATGGTATGATGCACTGACCGCAAGTACATTCCCTTTGAAGTCCTGCCGAGTGTTGCACACAGATCATGTGCAGCCCGTAAATGACATATTGAATTAATTACATGTTTAATGCCAACACAGACAATCGTGACTTAAGAAAAGTGCATACAGAGTTGAAAGGTCAATATTATATATTTTATCAAGAAGCAGCTGGAGGTCAATAAGTTCAATTTGATAAAAGCATGGACCTTGTAATACAGTTATAGATCACTTTGTCACAATTAGCATGTTGTTATGATGTGTTGGGTGGCACCATGCACAGGGGTGCCATCACTCGTTTGGTTTATAAATAATTTGTAATACTTTTTTATATGCCCACATGGAAATGTGGCCGTATATTGCCGTTGCCCCCGTCCGTCCCTCTGTCCATTCATCGTCCACAATTTCTTGTGAACACTCTACAGACTACATTTATCATCTAATTGTTTTGAAATTGATATATGTTGTTTGCATTAGAGAGATGAAGAAGCCTATATAATTTCAATAACTTCCGTTAATTTCTTCTCGAGTTATGGCCCTTGTTTCACTTTGTTGCACCTTGTGAATGCTCTAATGACAAAAGTTATCAACCGATCTGTATGAAATTTATATGCATCATTTAAATTAGTAAAACAAAGAAGCCTATTGAATTTCAGCAATTTCTGTCAATTACATCTAGAGTTTTGTATCATTTAAATTAGTAAAACAAAGAAGCCTATTGAATTTCAGCAATTTCCGTTAATTACATCTAGAGTTATGGCCCTTGTTTCACTTTGTTGAATCTTGTGAATGCTCTAATGTCAACAGTTATTATCCGATCTGTATGAAATTTATATGTATCGTTTAAATTAGTAAAACGAACAAGCCTATTGAGTTTCAGCAAATTTCCGCTAATTACATCTAGAGTTTTGACCCTTGTTTCACCCAATCTGTATGAAATTCATATGCATCATTTAAATTAGTGAAATGAAGAAGCCTATTGAATGTCAACAATTTCCGTCAATTACTTCTAGAGTTATGGCCCATGTTTTACTTTGTTGAACCTTGTGAACGTTCGAACGACAAAAGTTATCATCCGATCTGTATGAAATTTATAAGCATTATTTGAATTAGTGAAACAAAAAAGCCTGTCGAATTTCAACAATTTCTGTAGATTACTTCCAGAGTTACGGCCCTTGTTTTAGTTTTTAGAACCTTGTGAACCTTCAAACGACGAAAATTATAATGTCATCTGTATGGAATTGTCTATTAAATGCCCCTAATTACCTACAAAAGAATAAATATACGACAACCCTTGTCGACCGCTCAGACGATTTAGCTGCTGTGGGTGTATGTTTTGTTGCCTTGCAACCTATCTTTTATTAATCTCTGAAATTTGTTCTATCAGGATCATGTAGGTTCTACAGTGTCTCAGTCAAATCCGTCTCCACAGAGTAGTCCTGAGGTAAATGTAACCAATAGCAACCAACCTGAATTAATAGAAGATAACATAAATAGTGGTACCGGTTTTACGGGTGGAATTGAAGAAGAAGTTGAAATACCTGAACCTGAAGAAGCAGAGGTAAATTACACCATGTTCACTTTTATTTACCAGAGTATGAGCCATCAATTCCGCCAAAAAAGGTAGTTAGGACATCTTTTAGAGGAAGGATAATAACAGTGTTTCTGTCTACTCTCTCCTTATTTATACTTCAAGTGTCTCATCCAAATAGCTAGACACGCATTCCATGTTAGACCAATCTGTCAGTGCCTGTACAATTCCAGTCCAGCAAATTAATCACTTGAATTTTTATTTCTTAGCTAGACAGAGTGATTTGAAATAACGACATGCCAATTTTATTTACAGATTCCTGGTTCTGGTTCAGAGACACTATTGACAAGAAGAAATCGCATCAATTCCAGTCATTTGATTAATAGTAGACTGAAAGGTCGTGTCAATAATGTTAATTCAGCTTTACCACAAATACCAACAATCAACAGTCCCGGTGGTATGTCATGTTATAGTACAATATGCAGGCAATAAACTAGCCAACCAAGGAAAACTATTATTTGAGAGTTTTATTGAAGAAAAATTTGGTGGCTCTTCTAAAACATCAGTCCTTTTTGCAACAGATCAATCTAATGTCTTTATCATCTAGACATTAGCTATTGTTTTTCTTTATGACTCACATCAGCCAATTCATTATAGTGAATATTATTATGTATTATAGGTGGAAGAAATAGTGCTAATACTCAGCCAACATTAACTGATATCAGTAATAAAGTCAGTCAAATGAAAGGAAGTCCACAACATAAACGTATTACTGATCTAGCAGGTAAGAATTTGACACAATAAAAAGATAGGTTGCCAGGCAACGAAATATACGCCCACAGCAGCTAAGTCATCTGGGCAGTCAACAAGAGTTGTCACATATTTTTACTTTTGTCGGTAATGAAACATTTATAATACACTAAAATCTGATTAAGAGTAACAATTCATTATGTAATTATCAGAAAAATCATTAGAATTTGTTTGGCCCATGCTAACGTTTATTATACAAAACATTTAATATCATGGATTTAGCTGTTCAAGTTATCAAAAATCTCAAAACCTTAAACTCTGTGTATCGATCTAAAGTCAATAGAAACGATTATATATAGGCGTAAACACGGTGTATAAATATAAAATCAATCAGATGATAACTATGGTCTCTAGAGCATCCACAAGATTTTTCAAAGTGATCAAGGGCCATAACTCTGGCAGTAATTATCGGAAATCGTTAAAAATCAATACGTTTCTTCATCTGATGACCTGAAACACTGTATCAATTTAAAGTCAATCGGTTATTAACTTTATCCTCTAGAGCATCCACAAGATTTTTCAAAGTGATTAAGGGTCATAACTTTGGCAGTAATTATCAGAAATCGGTGAAAATCAATAGGCTTCTTCATCTCATGACCTTAAACACTTTGTATAAATCTAAAGCCAATTGAAAATCAATAAGCTTCTTCGTCTCATGACCTTACCTTAAACACTGTGTATAAATTTAAAGATGGGTTCCCGCGTACAAACTGGGTGATTTAATGGTATATATGGACTAGAAACATATTCAAACTAATTAATTTGTCATAACTTTGCTCCAAATCCTTCTCAAACATTGTAATTGTGAAGGAATGTCCTGCCACAAAAATTCGATCAAACCAGGTCATGTTTACGTCACGTGACTTACCTCTCTTGGAAGTCAGAGGAGAATTCATTGCATACATAAGACGATGTTGTCTTTAATCGCTTACTATTTATTACAAATATCGAATCCTAATTAAATTCTCGGATTATCCACTAACCGCGTCTTTTTCTGTCATTTTTATCTCAGAAAGTGTTGTACGTCTAACTCTTCATAAAGTTTATCAACTTGTACATCAAGCGCTTAATGTTCGCGTGTGACCTTTGACTTCACGCGTGCAGAAATTCCTAATCGTCGGTCTGTTGATTAGGGGAACCCTTACATTTTTGTCCTGTATACGCTCCATGAGTGTTTTTCGGGGAATCCAGTATTTTTCTAGTAAGATTGGATATCTCTACTTTCCAAAATTACCATACTTTTATTGGAAATAACCACCCGATAAATACTTTTCTGGGAACCCATCTTTAAAGTCAATTGGATATTAACTTTAGCTTGTGGATGCCAGATGGACGGACGGGGGCGACGACAATATACAACCAGATTTCAATGTGGGCGTATAAAAAGATAGACCCAGATCAAAATGTGCTAGGTTATGATCGTAAAGTGCTGTCTGGCAGACAATATCTATATTTCTTGACCCTGGGGGTGCCTTCTTTTTATTAAGAATTCCCAGGAACTTGTAAACTTAAGTGTCTTTGTCATTTATATTATTCTTAATGTAAATGACACCTAGCAGAGAGGTTTCATTGAAGGATGTATATCTTTGACCTCTCTGTCCAAAATCAGAAAAGGAACACTGAGAAAATTTTCCATACTGGTTAAAACCAATTTTATTTAATTTTATTTAAATTTCTTATTCATTATCGTTTTTAGAAGAATTCTTGTCAGAGATGTATGAAAACAACAAACTTCTCATCAGTTCTTACATATTTTCTAAATAGAAGTTTATATTTGTATTTACAGGAAGAGAAGTGACTAATAATAATCTACTATATACTGGTAATAACAGACGTGATAGTAATACTAGTACCATCAGTTCTTACTTCAGTAGTATGAGATCAGATACCAGTCCTTATTCTTACGGTAGTCAATTCTCAAGTCGACGTTCTAGTGAAGCTTCGCAAATATCAAATCGTCTCAGTATAACTAATTCTCCATACGAGTATGATATGACTGGAAACCTGCCGTATCAATCACGTCGCTCCAGTGAAAGTAGTGGTGTAGGGAATGTGGCTGACAAACTTCAAAAAGCAACTCTTGGTAGTCAAACCAATCTTTATAATCATCCGCAGCAAATCAGTATGAGAAATCCATCCAATAAATATGCAAACGAACGTCTTGCGAGATTTTTTGCTAATCGTAAGACTGAAAGAGAATTGGATGGTGCCAGGACCAGCATGTCATGTCGTACTCCATTACCACATGAAGTACCGAATCGTGAAATAAGGAGAGCGAGTGATCCGGTGAGGACGTTAGATCCGAATTTCAATGTGCTGAAAAGACTACAAAGGTTTCATAGTTTAAATATGATGAAACCATTACCGATACCCCAGGGTATGAAAAGTTTACAACAGAAATATGGTTCTAATAATACGTTTCACTCATCGCGCAGTAGTATAGCAACAGATTATAGTCTAGCTGAAGATCAAGAATATGGTTCTCCCGGTGTAGTCATGGAAACTGATCATGAAGCAACTCTAGAAGAGAAAATGATGGAAGATAATGAAGACATGATAATTCCTGATGATATGCGGCGATTTCTTAATGAACATTGTATGGCTGGTGATCCCAATAATATGCATGAATACGATTCAAATATGATGTATAATATGAGTGAAATGGGAGATAACTCTGTACATCAATCACTGTATCCTAATCAAGGGTTACACAGTAATTATCATAATTTACAGGTACATGGTTATATGGATAATCAGGCTAATACGATGATGGGTATGAATGGTGGTGATCAGTTTAATGGTGGACAACCTAATCAGGGTATGATGCAGAGTATGCAGCAAGGGTGGAATGCTGCTAATGGAGCTCACAATATGCACATGAGAAATATGATGGCTCAGGGACAACAAAATCCTAACATGATGCGTAATATGAATCCAAATGCTAATATTGGTGTACAGCAGAATATGATGCAGGGTAAAGTTGGTAATCAAATGAATCAATGGAATCAAAGCATGGTTAATCAAAATCAAAATATGATGCCACCACCACAACAACCAATGTACAGCCCTACACCCCCTGGTGTCAATAAAATGATGATGCAAAATCAACATCCCATGATGCAACAGATGAGAAATCAGTATATGGCATCTGGTCAACAAAAACAAGAAAGAGACAGTCCTAAAGTTCAAGTTCCACACATAAGTCAGTCACAGATACCACCTAACGCTAAAGCTGCTACACGCCAGATGATGAGACAACAAATGATGCAACAACAACAACAAATGTATGGGAACATGCAGTATCAACAGCAGATGGCTAACAACACAATACAACAGCCACAACAAAACTTTTCACCTAATAATATGCAACCTAATCTCCCCATTCCTCCACATAATAATCAAATGTCTAATATGCAATATATACCACATCCACCAATGTATCCACAAAACTCAAACACTCAACAAGGTTGTCATTTACCTGCCGGTGCTAATAATTCCCATAATCCACTAGAACGATCACCTGGAAGTAACCAAGTTACAAGTTCTACAGACAGGAAGGAAACAACAGCGCCCCCTATTGAAGACTTTATGGATAATCTACAATCTATATCTACAGAAAATTTACTTGATAACATTAGTTCTATATCAACGGAGAATTTAAGTGCGAGTGTGAATATGTTCAGCCCAATGGCTATAGGTTCGAGATCTGCATCTCAATCTTCATCACGCGTTAACTCTGTGCTTAACACTTCAAATATGGTGGTAAATGACATGAGTTCCATGCTAACTCAATTAGCAGAAGAAAATAAATACCTTAATATGAGGAACTAGTGAATTATGTTAATATTGTTGTTATTGTTATAGACTTGTATATATAGATAATTTTATATAAGCAAAAGAAATTATAAAGCAGTTTCATGGTGCATTATGATTAGTGTGTACAGTGGAATTAAAATGTAGATTAGAATAATTAGATAATTTTTCGAGAATGGAAAAATTTCATATCATATATTTTCATCAAAACATCTTGTTGGTTATCAAAAAGCAATATTATTATGGGATGTTTTAAATATTGTATATTTTGAGACATATTTTATAGATTGGAAAAGAAACATTTTATAGATTACAGACAATACCATGGGATTTTATCAATTTATAGTCTTCCTTAAGTGTTTATATTTTTATTGACTATGCATATATGGTGCTAAAATGTGTAACATATATTATACTCGATTGATATTTGTGTGTTTCCTATTGTTATTAGGAAGTTATTGCGTGCTAATGTTTGGAGGAATATTTTTAAACAATGAAGAATACAGACTACTGTAGTGTCTATATATGGTACAGTGTACTACTGACTTATAATACTTACTGGTGTTATATAAAGGTTATATATTTTATTAATGTGTTCACTGTCCAGTTTAACTGCATTTATTTTATTACTACTTTCAGTTGTAAGTCATAATCAAACCATGCTGAGAGTATTAATACTCCCCCAACCATGCAAGTATTTCAATGAAATTGAAGTCTACATTTGATTTTCATTTATTTCCAGGCACATGTTCCAGTCAAATTTAGATAACTGAAACATTTAACTGTGCCTTAGCTTTTCTTTCTATCTGTCTTAATACTCTTTCTTTAACTTGCTTTATTATAAATCTGAATGATATTGAGGCCTGATGGTACCAAAGATTAAATTACAATGTATCTTGATCAATCGGTTTGATTTTGTCACTGCTTACACTAAAATTTGAATCTCAAATCAAACATCTCTTAAAGTGCTACTTAAAATATGCATTTTTATATTAAATGTTAATGATAATTGTTTACAAATTGTTACATTATTAAATCAAGTCTTAAATCATTTTGAAAATAGTCTAACTATAAACCTACTAACTATGTGCTATATAATGATTTACATATTTTCCTCCCCATCTTTTACTTTATCAATGTTGTTGTCTGATTGAAGACTTTTTTTTCTATTAAAGAACATATTGAGATTATTTCTGCGGCATAATACTTACATTGTTTATAAATGATGCATGAATTATTTCTATCATTTTATTATTAATTGTTTTAGAGATATACAGATTGTAATAATTTTTAGAGTTTATAGATTCACTTGACTTGCATAATATAATTATGTACATTCATGTTATATTAATACCATAATATATTATTATATTTACCTTTTACAAGGTATCATTACAATCCATTCATACTATATAACAAGTGTTCAAATATATATAGTTAGCTACTGCTAATGTAAATAAATCAGCTATCAAATTGTGTGGCTTCTGGCATGTATTCCAAGTGATATGAAAGTTCATATTATCATCAACAATAACCCAATTTTGAACAAATCTGAATAAGCACCACCAAAGCACCATACTACCTAAATATGGAAATCTGTTCCAGAAGACAATTTCTAAATTTGCCTAAGATCCACCCCCATGAGGCTAAACTACTTCAAAGTTGATTGGAATCCACTGAACTGTCTGAAAAATGTCCAAAATGGCTAAATTTGCACCTTTGAGGTGCTCATGTCCCACCCAAAGAGGCCCAGCAACTATATTTCAACAAAATATCCTCAAAATATTTACCAAATATTATAATTGAACTCCATTCCGAGGTTTAGGAATCAAGAATATTTAAATTTGTTCCTGGTTGGTGCAGAACAGTCCATCAAATCTGATTAAGAACAAGACTGATAACCCTGGTTCCATATTGAAAATATAAAAGTCTGATACAGCTTAAAAATAATATGGTGATCCAGTCATTACGAATGCGGTCCGAGACCTACCGGTACACCCAACACTGGGGTTTTGGTCAAATCCAGCCAGACGAGGACATCTAGTACATCATTCTTTTATAGAGGCCACTTCCTCTATTTTACCCATAATATTTTCCGTCTTTCATATTTTTATACGCCCATATGGAAATGTGAACGTATATTGCCGTCGCCCCCGTCCGTCGTCCACAATTTCTTGTGAACGCTCTAACTCCAAATGTTATCGTCCGATATTTGTGAAATTTATATGCATGATTTAAATTAGTGAAGCGTGGAAGCCTATTGAATTTCCGTCAATTACTGCTAGAGTTATGGCCCTTGTTCCACTTCGTTAATTGTACCTTTGGAATTAAGCTCTAACATCAAATGTTATCTGCCGATTTGTATGAAATTTATATGCGTCATTTAAATTAGTAAAGAAAAGAATTTTATTGAATTTCAGCAATTTCCGTTTATTACTGCTAGAGTTATGGCCCTTGTTTCACTTTGTTGCACTTTGTGACCGCTCTAACAAAAGTTATCTGCCGATCTGTATGAAATTTATATGTGCCATTTAAGTTAGTAAAAAGAAGAATCCTATTGAATTTCAGCGCTTTCCGTTTATTACGTCTAGAATTATGGCTTCTTTCACTTTAATGAACCTTGTGAACGCTATACTGCCGAAAGTTATCCAATCTTTGTGAAATTTATATACATTATTTAAACAAGCCAACAGCGAGGCCGATGTCCCCCGCCGAAATCCCAAAATAAATAGATGACACATATTAATTAATAGCACATTTTTTTTTTCCAAAAGTATCAAGCAATCAAACTGATTATCAACTATACACTAAGTTTCATCACACTCTATCATATAGAATCAAAGTTATCTTGTCCCAAAGCATCGACCAATGAAAATGCTTAGCTCTGCTTAGCTTTAGCTCGAAATGTTAATCATTTAACTCAGTCAAGATATCGCCCAATGAACATCTACATCAAGTTTAAACATTTTACCTCAATTAAAAGCAGTGTTGTTATGTTCCAAAGTCTTGACCAATCAAAATGCTTATCGATCCTTAGCCTAAGCAGAAAATTCTCATCATCGAACTTAATCAAGGTTATGATTTAATGAATTTATAGTCGAAGTTTCACCACCAAAGTTATCGTGCCCCAAAACAGCAACCAATCAGATTGCTTATTTCTGCTTACCGTAAACAGACAATGTTTATCATCGAAATCCATCAAGGCATTCACCCAATGAACGCCTACACCAAGTTTGAACAATTTACCTCAATTAGAAGGAGAGTTATTATTGCGTTCCAAAGTCTCGACCAATCGAATTGCTTATCGCTCTGCTTACCCGGAGCAGAAGATGCTCATTATCGAACTTAGTCAAACTATACCCCAAATTTCATCACTCTCACTTAATTAGAACTAAAGTTATCGTGTCCCAAAGCATCAACCAATCAAATTGCTTATCTCTGTTTACCCTAAGCAGAAAATGCTCATCTTCGAACTCCGTCAAGGCATTGACCTAATAAACACCTATACCAAGTTTGAACCTTCTAGTCCAATTAGAAGGACGAATTCCGTCAAGGCATTGACCTAATAAACACATGCACCAAGTTTGAACCTTCTAGTCCAATTAGAAGGAGAGTTATTGTGTTCCAAAGTCTTGGCCAATCAAATTGCTTATATATCAAGCATCTGATTTGATAAAATTCTCGGGTACATGTAATCCCCCAGACCTCAAGCCAATTCTCCACTTGACGTTTCATTGCTTCCTCAATAATCTAACTGAAGTCTTGCAACATTTGCAGTTGTAGACTAAACAATTCTCATGTATCCTAGAATATATTCTTTATTCTATCACTCTGCAAAATCTTTGTTTTTACAGATACTACATTTGAACACCAATGGTGGCAGTTATGTCAAAGAAGTTACAAAAAGATTTGTGGAGGCTTTGTTTACAGACATGGTAGCCAGGCAACACTACTCATTGTCATGTACGAACATTTTATTGAAACCATGCCACTGGACTCCATGACAAAGCTTATGATCGAAAGTGCACTCGTCACCCAACCGTCAAGAAGGCAACAGAATAAAGACTCTTTTCATATAGTTTTAGTCAAATGCAGATACTGTATGCTATTTGTAATCTACATGTATGTGGTGTAACATGTAAAATGGAACTTTTCGTCAAATATTGACAACGGCCCCAGACCCTCCGTACATTGAAGACTTGCATATTATAACGTTGCCCTGTCTGTCAAAAATTAACTTGTGATAATGAATGCGCCAGTTTTTATTACATATTCTTTTCAAACTGGATGTGAAGCATCATGATCATTCATGAGAGGACAGACCTGATCAATATTCAAAATTCCAAAACATTCTTGTGACAATTGTCTTGTGAATGTGATAATGGCTGCAGTTGCTAACAGATTCTTTTCATACTGGGTGTGAAACATTGCGATCATGAGGAGACGAACCTTCACGATATTCAGCTTTTCACGGCTTTCCCGTTTGGGGTTACCATATTCATTGGGGTATTAGTCAATACCTTTTTCTACTGAAATTTGGCATTCGCCTTGTACTCCGCTTCGACTTATATACGAATGAAGGTATTTGTCGACATTTCTTAGCTGGTTTAATTCTTTATTAAAAACATATCTACCCGCACCCCACCCCCCCAAACACACACACACACAGACCCACACATTTTCTTCATAATTTTATCGGGGGGTCATGGTGGCTCAGTGGGTATGATGCTAGCTCGCTAGCCTGGAGGTGGGGTGTTCGATCCCTGCATTGGCCGAGAAAGTTCACCCTGATTTTCCGGCGTGGTTCCCCCTTGACCTGTTTTGTGCAGTATTACATTTACAATATGATTTCTTAAGTTTTCATTATGAGTTCTTTCCCTTGAACAAAATGGCCTCCCTACAACAGTTTTTTTATACGCCCACATTTTCATGTGGACGTATTATGCCGTCGCCCCTGTCCGTCCGGACGTCTGGAGGTCCGTTCGTCCACAATTTGTTTGTGGACACTCTACAGGTCACAATTCTTATCCGATTTTGACGGAACTTGAAATATAGGTTTATCTCCAAAAGATCTCGGCTGCTTTCGATATTGGCATGTATCGGATCGAAACTTCATGGATTATGGCCCCTGTTTGTACGAAAAATCACGTTTTTAGCTTGTCGACCCAATAGAGTTCACAATTTTGATCCGATTTTGTTGAAACTTGAAATGTAGGTTTATAACCTAAAGATCTCGATTCCTTTCGATATTCACGCATATCGGACAGTAACTTCCTGAATTATGGCCCCTGATTGTACGAAAAATCGCGTTTTTAGCTTGTGGAATTATAGAGGTCATAATTTTTATCCGATTTAAAAAAAACCTATTATTATATCACCATTACACCCTAAGGACAACTGAGTTCGAATTTCGTGAAAATCGGATCAAAATTGACAGACAAAATGGCTGCTGTTCGTTCTCAAATAGCGTAAAAACCTAGTTAACATTGATGGTTAGATTTACGTAATGTTTACGTCATTATGGTTAGATTTTGGTTAGCGTCCAATAATGGTAAAATTCTTTGGTTAAATTTACGTTACTTTTACGTCATAATGGTTATGGTTACTTTTACGTCAGAAAATGACGTAAATGTAACGTAAACTTTATGACGGATTACTAACCAATTTTTTTCCCTTTGAATACTTCTTGATTAAATAACATTACAAGTGTGTGCACATTCTAACAATTGATATATAGTCGGAATTCAGACATAATAATTATATATGTATTATTGGTTATAATTTTAACGTTAATCTAACGTAAATTTTACATCAGGTTTCTAACCGTTAGTTTATGGTTAGTTTTCTGACGTAAATCTAACGTTAGTTTTGTGACGTAAATCTAACGTTAGTTTTCTGACGTAAATCTAACGTTAGTTTTCTAACGTTATAATAATGTTAGTTTTCTAACGTTAAAGTAATGTTAGTTTTATGTCATAATTTTAACCGTTAATTTAGGGTTAGTTTTCTAACGTAAATCTAATGTTAATTTTATAACATAAATCTAACTTTAGTTTTCTAACATAAATCTAACGTTAGTTTTCTAACATAAACCTGATATTAGTTGTAAAACGTAAAACAAATGTCAGTTTAATGTCATGATACTAACAATTAAGGGCCTGACAAGACAGCTGTCTAGTCATTAAAATGGGACAAAAATGGGTAAGACCCTGGCTCGCTAGCCTGGAGGTCGGGTGTTCGATCCCTGCATTGGCCGAGAAAGTTCATCCAGATTTCCGGCGTTTTTTCCCCTTGTCAGTGATGCAGGACGGAGAGCCTGACAAGGACAGCTGTCTAGTTGTTCAGATGGGATAAAAAACCGAGGTCCCGTGTACACATTGGCATGCATGTAAAAGATCCCTTGACAGTTGGAATTCGATATAAGAGTAGGCCGTAGTGCCACTGTCGGGGCAAAATTTCCCTCATAACACACT